AATGTTGGAGTTGTTGCTCACAGCACTAGTTTCCCTCTTCAGCTGAGTAACATACTGTCCTTATATTATAAACACATATGAGTAACTGCTATGAGTGTCTATTTGTTTAAGGAAACAAATCTTTTTTCCCCCTTAGGCAAACAGATTGCAGTTTACAGTGTTTATTACCATCATAAATTGTTGTTGAACTGCAATTTCTGAAGCATTCAGTGCTCTGAACAAGAAGGCATAATGCTCTTGTACAACATTTTTTTTCACAAATACCTTTTTTCTGTTTAACAATTGGGAAAATTCTTAGCTGTGAGAATTCCCTGGACTGCTCCCAGATAATCAGACATTCCTTCTGTAGCTCCTAAATTGACTCGATTGACTTCACAAAGAGTTTCTGGTAACTTGAAAACTCTGGATGGAGCTTGATTCCTTTACAGGATTACTGATGATAAGAACTCTTTGTTCTTCTGGGTGAGGGGGGAAAAAAACTAAAAGAGGGGAAAGGGAATGTCAAAGCAGTCTAGGAGCACAGGTCTACAAGTTAAAGATTTGTTTTGATTTGCAGAGACTTCTGATAAAAATATTCAGATGGCAGCCAGCAAACAAAGTCCGAGATATGAGTGTCAGGTTTTTTCTTAACCTTTTCTTTTTTCGTTTAAGCATGTGTCTTTCATTTATGTTCAGTTACTGACAGCAGTTCTAACAATCTCTTTCAAGTGTATTTTCGATGACTGCTAGTATTTCCTGCTTATTTTAGTCTCTTCCATTATTCTCAGAGCCACAGAGTTTTAATTTTGTGCAGATTTCAGTTACTGGTATCCAAGTCCCACTTTACATGTAGACATGCACATCTTACACATGTCTGTCCCTGGAATTCCCTCTTCCAAAACAGGAAGAAAAAACGACCACGTGGGTTTTGAACATGGTGAAGTCAGTTTTAAATATCAGCATAGAAACATCCATTTGGATGCAAGAGATCAGATCCTGCATATTTAAGAGCATTTGTTTGAAGCTTTCATTTTCATGCTACTGTTTTCATTGAAGAAAATGTGTGAACAAGTCATCTTACTTTTATTGGTGTAATTAATTTTCAGAGATACTTCTCCTTAAGACTACTCTAAATGTTCAGAAATGTAATTTCTTAGTGACTGGTTCATTACAAGAAATACAATTAGAAAGTATGCCTGCATTTTATTTCATTCCATTCTACCTCTTTTGTATCAAAAACCCCAATAATTCTTCCTTTCCTTGATAGACAACTTCCTTCTTGTTAAACTAAACTAACACAGTTTCCTAGGATAAGCTATATATTTCATGCCACTATTAAAAATACCAAAAATTAGATGAGCATTATCTTCAGTGCTAGAGACTGAAGAAGAAAGCAGGTATGATACACATAAGTTGTTGTGGTTTAGACCCAACAAGCAACAAGTACCACACAACAGCTTGCACACCTCCCTCCTTTGTCTAGTAGGATGGGGGAGAGAATCAGAGGAAAAAGATAAATTATGGGTTAAGATAAGAACAGTTTAATAATTGAAGATAAATGAAATAAAATAATAGTACTAATAATCAAATCATAGAATCACAGAAT